AAATAAAATGGTAACAACAGGGCTTGGGAGCAGTGGTCGCACTCGCGTTAACCGTATATCCCCCCGTCAGTGCGAGTGATTGATAAATTGTGCGCTCGACGGATAATAATGGATTATGACGGAAATGTTACGATCCTGTCCGTCAAAATGACTGACAACGAAAAAGTCTAAAGCCACCACTGCTTGGGAGAAAGAAACTACGTGATATTTGGGCCCTTTTTCGCTGCAATGAGGCGGAGAAAAAAAGCGAATGCATTGTTTTATCAGAAGGGAAGCAATGTGGCCATAACACAGCTGGTAAAAACACCACAAACCAGATACTCTCTGCAAAGCTGCTTTCTTAATCATTCAACCTGTGTTTTTCATCAAATAAGGACAAGATATAATCTTATTGTGAAATAAGTTTGACTAATATGACAAATTATTAGTTTTGACTAGACAAGTTTGACTGAAATGTTCTATATAATCTGATGACTAAAAAAGACTCAACAGTTTTCATTGACAAAAAGTAGACTAAAATATGACTAAAATGCTCAGACTTTTAGTCGACTAAATCTTGACTAAATAAAAACAGGATGAAGGTGACTAAATATGACTAAAACTAGAAAGAAAATGTAACACAGGACTAAGACTAAAACTAAATTAAAAAATAGCTGACGAAATTAACACTACTGGACTGAATACATTTATTGATAATTCAGACCTTAACTGTGTGACTCAATTCTCAAGGCCTCTTCTGGGTCTGCCGGACATGCCTCATTAACCAACAAGAATGTAACTGTATTATATCTGAGGAAAATCCCCCTTTGGCTTCCCCTGTTATTTGCACAGACTATTGATAATCAACAGAGAAACTCAAGGGGCCTCTTTTAATATCTGGAAATTGCAACAAGACTTTCTGCCATTCAAATGTAACACACTCCTTATATATCAGGTGATATAATCTTCAATTCTTCACAGTTGCAACTTGCATATATATTTATTGCACTTGACGCACACACACGCATGGCGTAATTTCCACTGGGGACAGGGGGGACATGTCCCCCGCACTTTTCGAAATCCCGTTTGTGTCTCCCCACTTTACAAATATGTTTATTATTTTTTAACGCAAGCCGTCATCGCCACGGAGGAGCACATAGCCTCTGTGAGCGAGCGAGACAGAGAGCGAGCGAGCGAGCTAGGGAGACCACACCTTTCTCTATTTAATATAGATAAAGTAAGAAATCATTCCAATGTGTACTATAGGACAGTAAAAAAAACAAAAAACAGTTTAAAAGGGGAGTGATTAGTAAAATATGCATACATAAAAAGAAAGAATGCTAACTAGGTAACATAAGATAAGAATAAACCAGTTTAAATGATTTGTTATTGGTTGTGATCATATTCTAAAGATGTTTGGATTATTGAAAAGTATAAATCTCCCTTTCATCTGAGTGTTGAGAGCTGTATCCAGAAATTAATTTTGTGCTCAAAGTGCTCCAGATTGATGCATTTAACGTCAACATTTTAAAAAACATCTTCCCGGGGGGCATGCCCCCGGACCCCCCTACAGGGTGTGAGGTCCACCCCCAAATAAAGCAGGTTAAAATATTTAAATTGCATGCATGTTATTTTTGTAAATACTGCAAATGGGTCCCACAGACCCAAACAGCACACAAAGGTTAAAGGTAAGCATATAATGTTAAAATGTGCTAAATATATACACTGCAAAAATAAAAAAAAGAGTAAAAGTAGCCCCCGACTTGTTTAATTTTTTTAAGTAGCCCTCACCCTAAAAAAGGTTGGTGACCCCGGCCCTACAAGGTGTACTTTAAGGGTTTTGGACTCTGCAGACCGTTTACATGCATAAAAACCTTCATAACACACAAGGGGACGGTAATAACCAGAAAAGCATGACATGGGACCTTTAAACAAACAAAGTCTTGGCTTTCAGAATATGAAACTTTTATTTCCAAAATCACACGATAAATACATTTTTGAAGCTTATAAAGGGAAGATGACAGCTCTCCCTCGCCACTCTGCTGTTCCGTAGCGCAGCTTCCCCTCCCTCCGGCTGAAATTATTAATGTAAGGCGTATAGTAATCATAGATAACACGGCAGGGTCCGTTACAATTTGTTTTCATCTGATTTCAAATAAACAAAGTCTTGGCTTTCAGAATATTAAACTTGTTTCGGCAAATTCAGATGATAAATACAACTTTGAAGCTTGTAACGGCATAATTACAAGCGGAGAACGGAGTAACTTGATGTCACAGCAGGCATAACAACAGTCGGTGTTTCTCGTGAGTGTTTTCCCCGGGAAACAAACACAATACACACAAACGCAAAATTACACACACACACACATTCGCGAGCTTCCCCCAGACGAGTAATCCAAACGAAAATATCTTTCCTCCGTAGTAGTAGTTTGATAATTTGCTCCGCTAATAATCAATCAGATCGATGGATTCTAGAGAAGAGGAAACTTTAAAGGCCTTTTTCTCAAAATGATGTCTTGGTGACAGTCATTATATAATGTGACATATTTTGGTTAATGTAAGGGAAACTTCTGCAGCAATGGAGAGTCAGGACTCAGAGAGACACGTTGGAGCTTTGATGTCAAACACTGGTAGTTTATTACAAGTATCGGCCGGAGAATTTCACATCACAAGTCACAGCAGCCAGAGGTTCTGACTGCACGGTGGGTTGCCACATCAATTCTGCCCAGCCTCTCTCTCGATAGACCTTTTAACTAGTTTACAGAGAGTTAAACAACATATTGGGGCAGATAATCTAAACAGCTGGGCCCACTGAATCACTAGCGTCTGACCCTTAATGGCCTCGAAGCCAGCGTTCTCACCCATAAACCATTTGTGACCCAGAGTTGACCGGTCATAGACTGAGAAATATCAACATATGACTGCATTAGCACATTCCTTACGGGAGATAACAGAGCCAGGGTTGGTCATAAACGTCAAAGGGCAAAAGGTTAAATATCTAGGAGTAAAGACAGAAATATTCCCTCATACTTAATATTTGGAGTACAAAAACAATCCTGATATCATTAGAAAGCTAGGAATCTCCTCTTTCCAACAGTGTATACAACTCAAAATTAGATTAGATTCAGCCCCTAGTCTTGCTGCTATAGGCTTAGTTTGTCGGGGGACACCTTACTTCTTCCTTCTCTCTGTCTGTACCTGTGTACTATCACGTTCTGAATAACCCAGCTTCCCCAAATGTCTTTCTGGTGTCTATATATGGCGGGATCCGGAGTCATGGCTGATCCTGTTGCTGTGGTCCTGAGTCCTGGATCGCGAGCCCTGGATCTTGAGTCGTGGCTGTGCCTGTTGCTGTGGTCCTGGATCATAAGTCCTGGATGGATGTCCTCGTGGATTCATCTTCTTATTATAGACACATGCATTTCCAAACATTTGGACTACCTATGTTGCAAATGTATTATCTTTTCAATGTATACACAGTTGTCACTACCCGATCTGCAGTGCGCATGTGCGAGATGGTCCACCATATTGGAGAACTCCGGATGGCAACCCAAATAGGACACTTGGCATCTAGACCGTCTAGAAACGGCTGGCAAATATGCAATGCGAATGCGCAAGTTTTTACATGTGACAAACGGCGATTTGCATTGCATCTGACAGAATGAAGACTTTTGTGTTTTACAACAATTTGAGTGAATACATGTCTGAAGGTGAATTTCACACAGACCTCTCTAAAAATGAGCGAGATGAAATGCGCCGTGCGTCATCGAACTTTACAGTAAAAGGTAATTCATTCTCATTCTCCTGTTATTTTGTGTTGTGACTTACTGTGCAGTTACTTTTAATGTCATCAGTTACTTAGCTCTGTCCCAAGTTTTGTATTGTATTTGTATTGTATTGTATTGCCTTTCTAAATGAAATAATACTATACAAAAATATTTAATTCAATATTATAATATAATTTATTATTTTTTATAATATAATAATTTTATTCCTGAATGACCCCTTTTTTTGTGTTTCTGTTCAAAATGCCCTCACTTTTATGAATTGATGTGATGAACATTGAAGTGTATGTGCCTTGTTATTGTGAATTTGACATAATAGTTAAATAAAAATGTTTAAGTTACTAAGCTCTTTTTTTTGTTGATGGCCCGTTGTTCTATATTGGTTCCAACTAGCAATACATGGGTTTGGTAATCTTGTCCGAGGAGGAAAAGCTGTCTGCCCTCACAGAGTGCCACAATGGTTTGAGAGGCACCAGAAACAGTCATTGCTGGCTACTACTGGTCAACTCTTACAACTGATGTTACTAACTGGGTAAGTTATGGTTGTACTTTGTCCTGAAGCATGTTATATATATACATTTGAAATGGTCCTGAAGCATTTGATATATATATATAGTGTTATTGTGTTATTAACTCTTGTGTCAGGTGAGATGTTGTCATCGCTGCCAGTTAGATGACCCTATGAAAACCCAGCCACCAGTTCTGCATTATATAAAGGTACAGTAGTTCATGCTTGGATTTGAAGGAAGGCTAATGCATTTCATTCATGAAGTTAACAGGAAATATTTTTATCAGGTTAAAGCTGCTTGGGAGGTAGTCGGTTTGGACCTTATTGGCCCGCTTCGTGAAACGGCCAATCAGAACAAATATGTGATGACCATGACGGACTTGTACACCAAGTGGGTTGCAGCTGAGCCGCTCACATCAAAGACTGCAGCTGAAGCAGCTGTAGTGAAAACGATGTACACTTTCGGCATTGTCAGAAAAATCATCACTGACCAAGGCAAGGAGTTCGTCAATCAGCTACCTGCTTCTGGCTTAATTATCTAAGCAATACTTAACCGTGTAGGGCAGTGATCACCAACTGGCGGCCCGCGGGCCACATCCGGCCCGCACGACGGGGGTGACTGTGGCATTGGCGGAGTGGTTACTGCGTTCGCCTCCCACCCATTTTTTTTTTTAACAACGTCTCGTGAGTAAGGTGCAGTACCGGAGTCCAACAGAGAGGCAGCAGCTGCGGGTCAGTAGACTGCGTACTGCGAAACCTTCCCTGCCTTGAACAAGAATTGATCCTTCGTTGTGAAGAGTCTGGTTAATGCGGTCCGCACCACAGCAGTAGCCCTGCTGCGACAGAGTCCTACAGACAGGTAGGAGCTGCGGGACAGTAGCCTAGAAGCAACGTTGGGTTGTAACGGAATACATGTAACGGCGTTACGTAATCAGAATACAAAAATCAAGTAGGCTAACTGTATTCAGCTGGCGTTACATTTGAAAAACGAGTAATCTGATTACAGTTACTTTCGTAAACCTGAAGTGAATACATTTTGGAATACTTTTTGGAATTATTGGTGGAAAAGTTTCCTCACAAAATGTAATATTCATTACCGGCAGAACTGTGTGCACACTGCACGGCGCTGCATGTCTGTGAGCGAGAGAGAGATGTAAAGTGCCTGTGAGGCCCCGCCCCCGCACGCAGATGAGAGAGAGAGAGATCTCTTTTAAACTATATTGAAAGTTAGAAACGGAGATGGTTCGATAAAATGTGCAAGATAACGTTTATGTAGCATTTCTTTATTGTCGAGATGATGACATTTATAACGGGATCAAATCAAAGTGAATGGCCTGCTGCTGCTGAATGCATGGGGAAAGTGACTGGAAAAAGTTTTGAAAGTTATTACATCGTTTCAGATAATACATAATAATGATAATGCATTCTATTTAGGGGCGCCTTTCAAAGCACCCAAGGACACCTTACAATTCATAACATATTCCAAGGAAAAGTTTTAAGACAGTACAAAGAATGCAGTCTGGGTGATGTTTTTTATGTGGGGTGCAGATGAGAGGGAGCTGTCCAGAATGACACCAAGATGTTGTGTTTGAGTTCTTGATAAGCCATTAAAACAGTAAAATACGTGTCTCCTGTTCACCAAAACATACCCATCTGTTATGGAAAAAGAAAGTAATCCAAAAGTATTCTAAAAGTAATCTGAATACATTTTTAAGACACGTAACTGTAACTGTATTCTGATTACTTTCAGAGCATGTATTCAGTAACTGATTACATTTACAAAGTAACCCTCCCAACCCTGCCTAGAAGTGATCCTTCGTTAGCGTGAAGAGTCTGCTAAGCTTTATGCGGTCCACAGTACCTGAGCGTGCTCCACTAGCACCCCCCCCCACTTCAAAATTCTGGGCTATATAAAAATCGCTGGCGATAGTGTCTATTGGATACATTTTGGCCCTTGGACAAATGTAGTTGGTGATCCCTGGTGTAGGGGCTTCCCAATAATTCACTGAGGGGCTACATCTTGAGAAACCTATCTAATGCGTGCTACAGGCATGAGCTGGCTAGTGTAAAAACTTTGCTCCTGTTAGTTTTATTTTGTCCACATATAACAGTTATCAATGTCAGAACCTCTGTAACTATTCCTGTTTGAACTATCTACAGTTAAATGAGAACATATTTGAGGTTCTTGGGATCCAACATTCTGTGTCCAGTGCGTATCACCCTCAGACAAACGGCCAGGTTTTTTTAATGTAATTCGTACATGTCTCCAGACTTTTGTAAGAAAAATATCATTAAATATTATTCTGTCACAATGTTTCAATGTTTAAGATGAACGAACAAATCAAAATGTAAAACGGGCTCTTAGAAAATATGTCAACAATAATCACAATGACTGTGACATCCACCTGCCTGCAGTTGTGTATGGCATAAACACAGCTTTGCAATAAGTGTTTCATGGTGTTTTCCTCCTGGTTGTTCATTACATGTTTTTTGTTTTACCTGATGGTAATAGTGACCTTTACCTTGGTAAATGCTCATCTTATTTGTATCCAGGCTTCCACAAAGCATACTCCTTTGTATTTATGTTCAACCGGCATCCACGCTTACCTGAGGTGATGAATGCCTGTCCCATGGGAGATACATTTGACATAGGAGATCCAGAGGAGGACATCGACACTGTGGTGAGCCAAATGAAGGAGTTGAATAAAAAGGTCAGTGCCCTTTCAAATCCAACCGACATTGAAAGGCTAATATGAGAGAATGTTAACTTCAATTCACTCTGATTTTGTAGGTTCTTAACAACATAGAAAATGCCCAGGCAAGACAGCAAAAGTCTTATGGAAAACGTAAGCGAAACGTACGCATTTGCTCCATAAACAGTGGTGATGAGGTGCTCATCTCCAAAAAACCCATGAAACGGTCCCGTAAAGAAGGTCTTGCTAGCCATCACCAAGGACCATTTGCGGTTGCCCTTGTCACTTCCAAAGGTGTGGCCACTGTGGTGAAAGGCAACGGAACCAAGAAGCAGCTGAATGTCTCACGGCTAAGGCCGTATTACAGATTGGAAAGTAAGAGTCTCAATTTAACCTCTTAATCCTGTTACTTGATCAAACCCGCTGTGGTGCAATTAACATCCGAAGATTGTTTTTCTTATATAGAATAACAAATACAGGAACCTGAACCGGCCAAGTCCAGGAGAACTAACAATTGAAATGACTATCATTCACAAAAGACAAATGCTTTTTGTGTTTTCAGATCGTGGACTGACTAATTAAATTCAAAACCTTTATTTATCCAGGTAAAATCCCATTGAGATCAATGATCTCTTTTTCAAGGGAGACCTGCAGCAGTAGGTTCCACAAGAAGACATAAAAACATAAACAACAGGACATCATACAGCAACATGTACAGGGATTACAATTTACATATTTAACCACATGTACAGGTACCAACAGCATCTGATTTTGTAGCATCCAACCGAGCTTTAAAAACATGGTGGTACTAGCTTGGTAATTTTCCATTCTTTTTGCAGACTGTTCCATGTTAGTGGAGCTGACTAAGCTGGCTTTTCTCCATGACCACCAGTATCTGAAAACGAATGAAGGAATGCAACATTCATATGCTTGCAGAGGAGAGAAATGGAGAAAGGACTTGGGTCCTCTTCAGGACAAACTGGTAATTGACAAATCCAATCAACATCATATTGACGGATGGCTTATGCCAACACGCAGTGCAATGAGGATGATAGTGGGTTACTCAACTGTTGGATAACTGAATATTGAATTGCTTTTTAGCTGAAATACGTCCTTGACAGCAGTCAACCTGCAGGAGAACTAATAGTCAGAGATGGAGATGTCTGTGTCACCCGTGAGGACTTTGACTTTGGGTTTAGCTCGGTGCATGGATGCCAATGTGAGTACACACATGTTGCTGTAATTTCACTCACTTAGATTGAAAGTCAAAGGAAAATGACATTGAAGTTCAGTTTCTCATGCGACTAACATTTTATTTCATTTAATTACTCTTAGATTGGAAATGCCTGTCTGAAGATAATGGGGGAGGCTGCCCAGAGACATGTAATTTCTATATAGTCTCATAAACTTACACTTTTTGAGGTAGGCTACACATTCTGTGTTGGTTGATTTGAGGTAATGCTCAATACTCTGAACAGGGAAAAGGTGTTCACATTGTGGACATGTTTACTGTGCCCACCTGGAAAACCACAAATGTTAGCCTCCTGGTGAGTTCCAGTGCAGTACTATAACTTTTTTACACATTTGAATTGCATGAAATTATAAATTAGGTATGGTATTTATGTATTTATATTTCAATGCTACCAGGACAACATTGGCTAAGGATGCCATTTTGTTTCCTGCATGGAGCAGACAACAGGATCACGCTGATCACTACCTGCTATGTGTTGAGTACAAATTGATAAATTGAGATACATAGAATTTACGCTATATCAAAGTTATATTCCCAATGTGTTTGCAGTGAGATCATTTAGACATGTTTTTGTTGCAGGTGTTATTGATAGCAGAAAGGGAAATCCTTTTTTTTTTTACTCTATTCTTCCTGGTGGTTTTGGAGATGACGCATACAGAACCATATGTAGGTCCAGAATTAAGATTAACATGTTGCCCTGTTCTGTGGCCTAACAATATTTTTCAAGTTGGTTTGACTGTTTCTGTTCAAGTTTAATAGTGGCATGTTTCATGAGGAGCCTTGTTCTATGGCTTCACATTTCTATATAAGCCTTGTTCTATGGCTTCACATTTCTATATAAGCCTTGTTCTATGGCTTCACATTTCTATATAAGCCTTGTTCTATCGCTACATGTTTTGATATAAGCCCAGTTAAGGTTTGGCGTAGTTTAAGCTAGGGTTACCACAGCAGATATGTAACTATGTGCATTCATTTGCTTTTCAGACAAATTGCACATGGTCTTGATAAAGGAACTTGGACCGAGAAAACTGGCAGTGACTTTGACATAATTGTTTTAAGTGTTATGTCGACAGAGTGTCATACTAATGTACATGCTTGCAGTTTTCATAATGATCACTCTGTCAGTCACATTTATAGACCACCACATGAACATGTTACTTTTATTTGTATTTCTAACACACTGATAAAACATATGACAATCAGTTTTGTGTTTTTCAGGGCTTCCCACAACAAACTACTGGAAACCACTGTGGTGTCCTCATGCTGATGGTAAATGTCCGCAATTTCTACACAATGTTTTTCTGGTAGTTTAAAGTCACTGACATCATACCCTTCCTCTGTATTTCACAGTACGCACTCTGCATCTGCACTGGCGCTCCATTTGACTTCTTGGAAGTAAGTATTCATTCCTGTAACTTTGGTAGAAACACAGAAGTTGGATTCAAATTCACCGACATTACATGTGTATTATATAGTGAAGTGCCATCCAGTGGTGGTGTTTGCAGCTAATGGAGAGGTTCTGCATTGAAGGGTAGGATAATTGTTTAACAGGGAAATAGTTGTTCTTCTTCTTCATGATGACACTATGTTGAAAGTATCCATCCATCCATCTTCTCCCGCTTATCCGTGATCGGGTCGCGGGGGTAGCAGTTCCAGCAGAGAGCCCCAAACTTTCTTTTCCCTGGCGACATCAACCAGCTCTGACTGGGGGATCCCAAGGCGCTCCCAGGCCAGCGAAGAGATATAATCCCTCCACCTGGTCCTAGGTCTACCCCTTGGTCTCTTCCCAGCTGGACGTGCCTGGAACACCTCCCTAGGGAGGCGCCCAGGTGGCATCCTAACTAGGTGCCCGAACCACCTCAACTGGCTCCTTTCGACGCGAAGGAGGAGCGGCTCAACTCCGAGTCCCTCCCTGATGACCGAACTTCTCACCTTATCCCTAAGGGAGACACCAGCCACCCTGCGGAGAAAACCCATCTCGGCCGCTTGTATCCGCGATCTCGTTCTTTCGGTCATGACCCATCCTTCATGACCATAGGTGAGGGTAGGAACGAAAATGGCCCGGAAGACCGAGAGCTTTGCCTTCTGGCTCAGCTCCCTTTTCGTCACAACGGTGCGGTAAAGCGACTGCAGTACCGCTCCCGCTGCTCCGATTCTCCGGCCCATCTCACGCTCCATTGTTCCCTCACTCGAGAACAAGACCCCGAGATACTTGAACTCCTTCACTTGGGGTAAGGACTCATTCCCTACCTGGAGTGGACAGTCCATCGGTTTCCTGCTGAGAACCATGGCCTCAGATTTGGAGGTGCTGATCCTCATCCCAGCCGCTTCACACTCGGTTGCGAACCGATCCAGTGAGTGCTGAAGGTCGCAGACCGATGAAGCCATTAGAACCACATCATCTGCAAAAAGCAGTGGTGCAATCCTTAGTCCACCGAACTGCAGACCCCCTCCCCCATGACTACGCCTCGAAATCCGATCCATGTATATTACAAACAGGATTGGTGACAAAGCGCAGCCCTGGCGGAGGCCAACCCTCACCGGAAATGGGTCCGACTTACTGCCGAGGACCCGGACACAGCTCTCGCTTTGGGAGTACAGAGATTGGATGGCCCTGAGTAGAGACCCCCTCACCCCATACTCCCGCAGCACCTCCCACAGTAACTCCCTGGGAACTCGGTCATACGCCTTCTCCAAGTCTACAAAACACATGTAGACCGGATAAACGTACTCCCAGGCCCCCTCCAGGATCCTTGCGAGAGTAAAAAGCTGATCCGTCGTTCCACGACCAGGACGGAATCCGCATTGTTCCTCCTCAATCTGAGGTTCGACAATCGGCCTGACCCTCCTTTCGAGTACCTTAGAGTAAACTTTCCCGGGGAGGCTGAGTAGTGTGATGCCTCTGTAATTGGCACACACCCTCTGATCCCCCTTTTTAAATAGGGGAACCACCACCCCGGTCTGCCACTCCTTCGGTACTGTTTCCGACTTCCACGCAACGTTGATGAGACGTGTCAACCATGACAGTCCCTCAACACCCAGAGCCTTCAGCATTTCCGGGCGGATCTCATCCACCCCCGGGGCTTTGCCACTGTGGAGTTGTTTGACGACCTCAGTGACCTCCCCCCGGGAGATTGGTGTTGATCCCCCGTCATACTCCAGCTCTGCCTCTAACATAGAGGGCGGAGTTGTCGGGTTCAGGAGTTCCTCAAAGTGTTCCTTCCAACGCCCTAACACTCCATCAGTTGAGGTCAACAACGTCCCATCCTTACTGTACACAGCTTGGATGGTCCCCTGCTTCCCCCTCCTGAGGTGTCGGACAGTTTTCCAGAACAACTTTGGTGCCGCCCGAAAGTCCTTCTCCATGTCTTCTCCGAACTTCTCCCACACCCGCTTCTTTGCCTCGGCCACGGATGAGGCTGCTGCCCTTCGGGCCTGTCGGTACCTTGCAACTGCCTCGGGAGTCCCCCGGGATAACAAATCCCTGAAGGCCTCCTTCTTCAGTCGGACGGCTTCCCTGACCACCGGTGTCCACCAGGAGGTTCGAGGGTTACCGCCCCTTGAGGCACCTAGGACCTTGAGACCACAGCTCCCCGCCGCGGCTTCGGCAATAGAGGCTTTGAACACCGACCACTCTGGTTCAATGTCCCCAACCTCCACAGGAATGCCCGAAAAGCTCCGCCGGAGGTGTGAGTTGAAGGCCTCCTGAACTTGGGCCTCCTCCAGACGTTCCCAGTTCACCCGAACTACACGTTTAGGCTTACCAGGTCTATCCAGAGGCTTCCCTCGCCACTCGACCCAACTCACCACCAGATGGTGATCAGTTGACAACTCCGCCCCTCTCTTTACCCGAGTGTCCAAAACATACGGCCTCAGGTCCGATGATACGATAACGAAATCGATCATGGACCTTCTGCCTAGGGTGCTCTGGTACCACGTACACTTATGAGCATCCTTATGTTCGAACATGGTGTTTGTTATGGCCAATCCATGACTAGCACAGAAGTCCAGTAACAAACCACCACTCCGGTTCAGATCAGGGGGGCCGTTCCTCCCAATCACGCCCCTCCAAGTGTCTCCATCATTGCCCACATGTGCGTTGAAGTCTCCCAGCAAGATTAAAGAGTCCCCTTCAGGAGCCCCATACAGGACTCTTTCCAGGGTCTCCAAGAAGGCCGTATACTCTGAACTGCTGTTGGGTGCATAAGCACACACAACAGTCAGAGTTTTCCCCCCCATAACCCGCAGGCGTAGGGAGGCGACCCTCTCGTCCACTGGGGTAAACTCCAACAACGAAGCACCTAACCGGGGACTTGTGAGTATCCCCACACCCGCCCGGCGCCTCACACCTTGAGCAACTCCGGAGAAGAATAGAGTCCAACCCCTATCCAGAAGTAAGGTTCCAGAGCCGACGCTGTGCGTAGAGGTGAGCCCAACCAGATCCAACTGGTAACGCTCCACCTCCCGCACAAGCTCCGGCTCCTTCCCCCCCAGAGAGGTGACGTTCCACGTCCCCAAAGCCAGCTTCTGTCGCCCGGGTCTGGTCCGTCGAGACCCTCCGCTTTCACTGCCACCCTTCTGGCAGCGCACCCGACCCCATTGATGTTTCCCGTAGGTGGTGGGCCCGCGGGACGGAGAAGCGGAGGTGTTGCCCACGTTGCCTTTTCGGGCTGGGCCCGGCCGGGCTCCGTGGCAAGCCCGGCCACCAGACGCTCGCCGACGAGTCCTCCTTCTGGGCCTGGCTCCAGAAGGGGACCCCGGGCTTCCTCCGGGCCGGGTATCCTCACTTCTTGTATCGTCTTTCATGAGGTCTTTTTGGTCTTGTTGAAAGTATCATACTTGATTATTTCAAAGGCATGGACAGCGCTTTGCGTTTTGGACGGAGGAGGCAAAGGCACTTTTAGCAGGAAAACTCCAGCCTCTTCTTAGGCTGCCCCGCCGACAACCACTGTCGGTATGGCCAACACTCACATTATAGCCATTTAGACTTTTCAATCTAGCATTCTGTCGATACATGTATTGACTTGTCTGTCTTTTCCAGTTATGCCTTGGAGGTAATTTCATACCAACAGCTGGGTAACCGAAATCTAACTTATTTGTATTTGTTGAAGGAGGAGCTGAAACCCGTTAAGGACCTCCAACTGGCTGTGCCTGGAAAGTGATTAAGTTTAACACATATTGTGGCTGGACGCTGGCTAGTGCCCCACACACGCACGCACAGACACATACACACGCTATTGTGGCTGGACGCTGGCTAGTGCCCCACACACGCACGCACAGACACATACACGCTATTGTGGCTGGACGCTGGCTAGTGCCCCACGCACGCACGCACGCACACACACACACACACACACGTGCGCTATTGTGGCTGGACGCTGGCTAGTGCTCCACACACGCACGCACACACACTCTATTCTGGCTGGACGCTGGCTAGTGCCCCACACACACACTCTATTGTGGCCGGACGCTGGCTAGTGCCCCACACACGCACGCACAGACACATACACACGCTATTGTGGCTGGACGCTGGCTAGTGCCACACACACACACACACACACACACACACACACACACACACACACACACACACACACTATTGTGGCTGGATGCTGGCTAGTGCCCCACACACGCCACACACACACACTCATGGAGCGGGTCACATATGATTTGATTGGCTGACACTTCCGTCGAAGCTTGAAAAGGTGAACTTTTCTCAACTTTTGAAGCGAGCAATGGAGGCAAAGCGCCACCACGGAACCACAATGCAGTTCGGCAAAGCGTGACGTCACCCCATTCAAAGTGAATGGGAAGCTGCGTTGACGCTTCAACGCACGCCGCCGTGTGGACGGGCTGTAAGAGTTGTACTGGCAATTTTCTGCTTTTCACATCTCTTAGAATAGATTTCAAAATACTGCTGCTGGTTTATAAAGCACTGAATGGTTTAGGCCCAAAATACATTTCTGACCTCCTGCTAAATTATGAACCATCCAGATCTCTCAGGTCTTCAGGGACTGGTCCGCTTTCTGTCCCCAGAGTCAGAACTAAACATGGTAAAGCAGCGTTCAGTTATTATGCTCCAAATATCTGGAACAAACTCCCAGAAACCTGCAGGTCCGCTACAACTCTGACTACTTTTAAATCCAGGCTGAAGACTTTTCTTTTTGTCGCTGCTTTTAATTGAACTATTCATATCTTAGACTGCACTGTAACTTTTATCCATGTATTTTTTCTTTTAATGTTTATTTTATTAGCTTTTCTTTTTAATGACTGATTTTAAATGCCATTTTCTTAATCTCTTTCATTTTTTGTAAAGCACTTTGAATTGCCTTGTGTTGAAAAGTGCTATATAAATAAACTTGCCTTGCCTTGCCTTGCCTTAGGTCTGTGCAACATGTGGGTATGAGCGTTTTTGGAGAACCAGCCAATGCTGCACAGTAACATGCCAGCCTGCAACCTGTTACTGAGTGGGGCCATCCACTTTTCAGATTACATGGCTACCCAGACAATAAGGATGCTGAAACTGTTTGGGCTTCAGTGCATCAGTGCCAGCACCTTCTTCCGCCATCAACGCCTGTACACAATCCCTACTATCGTGCAGGCCTGGCAAAATGAGCAGGCTGGGATCATCCGAGAACTGAAGGAGTGGGCTAATCCTCTCCACACTTCAGCTTTTATTATTGATATAGAAAAGAGGTCAAAACAATATTTAAATTACATTCATTTAGCTTTATCCAAAGAACTGTACAATAACTGCATTGCATTGTTTTTAGGGCTTTAACGTCTGAATTAAACTGTTTTTGACACTCATAGGTCAGACTCTCCTGGCCACTGTGCCAATTATGGCACCTACTCCTTGATCGTTTTGGATCTTCAACTTGTAACTTGTAAGTTAACGTTATCAGTCACACAAATCAGATGTGCTTTCGTCTGATGTGACACGGTTAGTGATATGACTGCATAATCAGGGGTGCACATAACTGGTACGCAGGTATGCATGCGTGGCAAAAATCTGAATTGCGTAACGTCACTTGTGTCACTACGCGCCTTTGCGTACCTCAAAACAAAGCACATATTTCGTCTACACGTGTTTCTTGTCAACACTCAATGGAGTAAAGTACTAGACATGTCATTAAGCAGCTACGTTGCCGTTTCGCTCCCTGCTAAAAATCTTCAGACTTTCTATCTATGACTGATTGAACTGGGTGCTAGCCGAGCCGCGCAAGACATAACCGACGGAACTGTGAAGCTTTACAAGAGGCAGAGGCTTAGATCACTAGACGACAGAGTTGTTCACCGTGTGCACAGACAGTGTTAATGTCGGTATGAACAACAGAATTGTGCCAAAACTCCGCCAACTGGCTGCAGTGGGAGACTCCCCTGTGCACATTCTGTGCGCATGGTGGTTCTAATTCAACTTCAAGTTTTATTTTTCCGTGCTATATATTTTGCCATTTCTCTGCAAACGTACTTGGTAACATTATTTGATGTCGACATTGGTAAATGTTAAACTTATTTTAGTTTAACGTTACACTTGCTAACATTACGTGATGTCCATGTTGGTAAGTCTTAAACTTAGTTTAGTTTAACTATACACTTGGACTTGGTAACAATATGTGATGTCGACGTTGGTAAATCGTTACATAAATTAACTCATTTTATCCGTGACTTATTTTACAGTGGTAACGTTAATTAGCTATTAGCTAGCAAGCAAGCAGCTAGCATACCACCATGCGGTCCCGGCCCGGCCCGCATGGTGGTTCTAATTCAACTTCAAGTTTTATTTTTCAACCTCGCTTTTTGGACCTGCAGTGCATGTTTTTATCTTTTGGCATGCTGAGAGATTTTTTGTTTTGTTAATGGAAAATGTTTTGCAGTTGGTTCAAAGACTCCTGCATATAATGTAATTATCTTAATAAGATGCTGGGTGGTGTGATTTCCAATATAATACATCCTGAAAAATAAGTGCACAGTATGTTTTATTAATTTAATTTAGTGATAAACTTAGCGGTTACTCCTGTGTTTCATTTGTTTGGCACCCTGCAACAATCTGGGTTTCTCATTTTGCCCCCCAGGAAAAATAATTGCCCACCCTGCTAATAATATTAACAACTAAGATGGGAGGTGAGAAGAGTCTGCTCTGATCTGAGCATCTCAAAATGATAAAGACAATGGCGCACCCAGCAATTTGACAAACAAGATATGAAATTTCCAATCGAAAAACACTGTTAAGTTAACCTTACTATAGGTGTGTACAATCGTAGATACAAAATATAGCTAGATGAACGCACACAAAGGTCTTCAACAACTATATTGATTGCATTAGTTAAATCATATTCTGCCATTGATTTGATCATTTATATTGGTGATGTTTTTGAAGACTATGAGTTAATCTCTCTTTTTTTCTCCCTCTTTCAGACTCCTCTTACTCCTATCTAGGATATTGATTTCCTCGAGTGGAAACATCTATATATTCAGCCTCAACCCTCTCATCGCTGCTGTTACGGTTGGACATACAGTAGAAACTTTTTGGGGATTTTTGCTTTTTTGGGGATTTCATTTTTCAATGGTGTTGGGGGGGGGGGGGGGGGGGGGGGAGTTATTGGTTATTTGATGGATGTGGAGATGCAAGGACTGTGGCTATTCATGTACCAGAAGATCTGAACTGCTAAAACATTATAGACTAGATCATCAACATTATGGAAGGCACCATTCTTATCCCTGCCTATATGAAAACTGCCCATTTTCATGTAAAACATGGAATGCACTACTGAAGCATCTTTGTACACAACACCCTTCTCAGCAATCCTCAAGAGCAGATATCTCACATTTTAAGTGCCATCTTTGTGACGAAAATCAACTTACTACTGAAACAGACTTTTTTCACCACATTGGCCAACATTTGAAAAATAATGAATTAGTTCCTTGTATTTATGTTGATTGTTCATATCAAACCTACATATATGGAAGTTTCCACACTCATAAATGGAGAAAACACAAAGTGTTAGAGATTTAAAACCTGGAATAGTTCACAGATCACTCTTCAATCCTTCTGCTTTGGAGTCAGTTAACAGTGACACTGAGTTAAATGAGGATTTACAATTTGAAGAACCAACTTTTGAAGAACCTAGAGATTTGAGAAAAGATGTTGAGCTAAAATTAGCCTCAGTTTTACTGAAATTGGAACATAGCTACCTGGTGTCAAGTGCAGCTGTAAATATACTCCTTGAGGAACTGCAATATCTCATTGGGACTGTGTCTGTGCCGGTCACTCAGGAGACTATCACACAGTTTTTTGTGGATCATAACTGTCGGGTAGATGAATCACTTGTCCAAGAGTTAGCGACAGAACTCTGTACCTCACATCCTATTCAACTTGTTATTGGAAAAGAAGGCCCATTATCTACTGCATGGAGGCGCAACAAATATTATAAAAGTAAGTTCTGTGTAGTGGAACCAGTAGAATATGTAATTGACCGAAAGAACAGAAGGTCTTTTCAATATATTCCTGTACTAAAAACGTTGCAGCAGGTTTTGAATTGTGAGACTATCCTCAGCAATGCAGTTAATTTAAAAGAGAAACTTCAATCAGTGTCAAGTGAGAGTAGGGTGGCCATTTCCATAACACCAAAAAGGAGGACACTTTGGGATTATCTTTTAGTTTTTATCCTGGCTTCACTGAATCCTTCACACTCAAAACACAATGAGACTAGTGTACTAACCACAAGTTGAATGTCTATTTTCGATACTTTTGCCCTTTCCTGGCTGCTTCCAAGAGTCTTTTGTTTGTAAGGAGTCTCTGGTACATGTCTGTGCACTCAAATGTGAAGTTGACACAAATGTGCAGCTCTGCCTTGACACTGTCCACATCCAGACGATTTCTCTCATTTCTCCATGCTGAGGTCATCATTGAGAACACACGTTATGTATGGGCTGGAGAAGATGTAGGTACTGAATCCTCAGATTCACAAGTGGGACTTCTGCTTTGGAAAACAGTTTGAGATACCGCTCCTCACTGTCAGGGCTGTATCCAGGATTTCCTAAATACCGAGGTTCAAATATGTTAGGGGGGTTCGGGGGATACCCCCTGAGATTTTGGGGATTTTCATGATCTAGTTAGGTGCTTTTTAAGTCCTGTGGGGGGGTCACACATTGGATAATATATTGATTTCAAACCATGTCAGTGGGCTGACAATGTCAGCATAAATTATTTTTGAAAGTGTAATACATCATAAGAATCAGTTGTTACTATTAATGATCTGAATATGCAGAAGAGGCTAAAATGTCAACATTCATTTTCCACGTCTCTCTCCTTTCCATAACCTGCACCCTCTCTTCTATCTTCATTACTCTCTCTGTCCTCTACTCTTTCTCTTTGTTCAATCTCTCCCTCGTTGTTCACTTGTTGCTCCTCCTCACTTGTCACTCCTGCCAGTGAATTAAAAGCAATTCAGCTATTTAGTTCAATTCACTTGTTTGTTTGCATTATTTTTTTACTTTAAATCAGTTGTGTTTGATTCTCAAAAGAGAACAAAGATGTAAGCAAATTGTGTTTTATACAATTGTATGTTATTCTGACATTATAACTGCAATAGATGTATGTTGTTTTACAATTATGCCTATTGTCTATATTGTAAATAAAGACTATTGTTCTAGATCAGGGGTGCCCAACCTTTTTTGAACCGAGAGCTACTTTTAAAGTTGCCGGTCTGCCGAGATCTACCAGTCCAAATAGAGAGGCGTAGCCATCACTGACAGCCTACTACCAGGTAAATACACACTTCTACTTGTATAAAACTGACCTTTGTACGATTAATACTTCATAAAATACTGCAGATCCTTTATCTTACCTCTTTCTAATCCAAGTACAAATCCAAGTATTGAACTTAAGTTGCACAACAGTGTTGTTGATACAGAGTTGGAGTTTATTCACAAAAGTATAAATTAGGCTTACTAATAATAATAATAATAATAATGTAATAAGCTACACAGGAATCTGCTGCCAAAGTGCAATAAAAAAGACAAAATTAATAGAATCAAACCCTTTTTTGATGCATTTTAGTAGAATATAAACATAAATGCCTTTAAAATAGGATGCAAGCAACACTAGTTTCTTAACCTGAATTGATAATAGACTATAATCAATTTAAGTTTGCATTCTTATACCATTTTGTACAATAATTATAATGAATAAGTTCAAACAAACTAAAACTTACAGCTGATTAATAACGGTATCTAACTTGAGTTTTTATTATGTCAAAAATCTGTTGAAATGCTACTGTTATTGTTACTGTCCCCAAAAAGCGCCTCGGCAGTAGGGCTGTACCCGAATATTCGACTATTAAAATATTCGTTCGTTGGCCAACTATTCGGGTTTCAATTTCATTATTCGGATATTCTTTTTTTAAATATTTTTTTCTTCCTAAATGTATGCTATCAATAAAGGCGAATTGCCATATTCTTATACTATATTTATACTTTTGAATTGCACTGTTAAAATGCGGAAATATATTCTTTCACACACAGTGACGTCACAAGCTACCCACAATGCAACGCGCGCCATATATCTATATAGAAATACGCCATTTTCCTGGAGGTGCTAATATCCTGGAGGTGCTAATATAAACAGCTAGCTAACGTAGCCAGGCAGAGCGCACTAGGTTTTTTTTCTGAATTAACGACCGAAGAAATCGCTGCATGTCTTCGGATTACATCTCTGGACTTGAGGGGTGTGCTCTAGGTCGTTACCAGCGTAAACTAGAGCTGTGTGGGTTGTCCGATTGCCCTTACAGACTGCCTGCAGATGTATGGAAAAACGACTCTCGAAAGTGGCCTTCGGTCGATTTTGGCAGCATCTACGTCTATCTTCTGGAAAC